AGGGTCTTGTTCATCAATGGTGTTGGAAGTTGACAAGGAGGGTTCGAACATGGCATTTAGCCATAGCTGAAGTAACCAAAAAGGGCCAGCCAACAGGATATTTTTGGAGGTATGAGATTTTAGGCTCGAAACGGCTGACCTTAGGCTTTCATAAAGGTCAACTAAGAGCAGTTCACTTAAGCACACTCTTCGATTTTCATGCAAATCCCTAGCTAGAGGAATAAACCTACTGGCTACCTGTAGGGATCTACTGCAGAAGACGTATCTTGACAGCCATAGGGTTAGGAAAGCAATGTGTTCTACATCAGACACACTGTCTCCCTCAGCATGGTAGTGACTGATAAACTTGGAAAAACTTGCTAGTTTGACTTCGAAGTCGATTATACTTGAATGTTCTTCGTTGTCAGGTATATATGTTTCTCCCACTGGTGATAGCCCAGTGATGGCCACTATGTCGAAGAAGGTAGGGGTGATCATTCCACCAGGGAGATGGAAAGTATTATAGGTACTGTCCCAAAAATAGAGGGACGCGAATAACAAAGGGTGGCTGTAAGTGAAACCAGGCTTCGACAGCTTAATCAAGTTGTAGATACCTAATTCTTCCCATTGCTGGGATTTCTTAGCTTCTACCTTCTTGAACCAATTTTGATAAGCAGTATCGGAGGTGGGGCAAGATCGAAACGGTTTAAAATTACTTTTTACATAGTCTAATACAAAAGGGTCCTTAGGAGGAACAATTGGATTTTCTATGGTGTTTGAGCCATAAGATTCTATTGCCTTAGGGGCGTCCATTTTGTTAAACAAGGGTTTGAAACTATAGCAAGCTGGGAAAATTGTCCTGGTATCTTTTAGAATTTCAAAAACCGTAAGAGGGCCCATTAAAGCTAACCTCTTACCAGCAACGGTGGTAGGAATGAGTACCTGTGATGCATAAAGCATTTCTTTTTCCTTTGAGATCATCTGGGGAGCAAGAACGGATTGACCTTGGTGAGTGATAACCTTACTTTCCATTGTAGTTCCTGCAGTTTTTCCCTTCTTCTTGGAAACCTTTTTGAGTTGGGATGAAGTAGAAGAAGACATTTTTGAAGGATGTTGAAAGCTTAGGGTTTTTGGCGAGAGAAGAAGGATAAAAGATTCAGAATGTAGAAAGAAAAGAAAAAGACTAAGTTGATGATGTTTTATAATGTGGAAGTTTAAGCATCCACTGAATGAGGGTGTGATACGTGGAAATCATGGGTTGGTTTGATGAAGAGGTGGCGTAAAGTTAACATGGGTAATAGGCGTGATTTAAAGATAATCATTGTTTGTAACTGCACCATACTGTGAAGTGGCTCCAGGCGGTTAAGGAATCCAAAAAGTGTTATGATTGACGTGACTGGAGTCAAATGCATTAAATGTTACGATGATTCGAAGGTCGCATCAAAATCTTGTGTAGATGTTTAAAATAGGTATTTCTCAGAGAGATCGAAATACATATTTTAAAGGGGCATTTTGTTGGCTGAAGATTTTGATAATATTATTAAAAGCCAAGTAAGTTGAACGTTTCGATCGAAATGAAACAAAGCGTCATGTTTCGAAGTAGCAGAAGCAGTGTTTCGAATAAGCATATCAAAGCTTGGAGCTTCGAGTGGCAATTATGGGAACATATCTAAAGAAGTCTCGAAATGACAACAAGGCTGTGTCTGAGAAGTGCGTTCGAAACGGAGAAGTACCAAAACATTTGAAATTCAAATGAAAGCGAGACATTCGAAGTTTGAAATTTATGTGCTGGAGCATTTGGAGACACGTGGAAACAAGAGAGAGGCATTGTTCTGCATGTTCTGAACGTGGCATAATCTTATAGCAAGACCGTTATGGTCGAATTAGTATAAATAGAAGTCTTAGTATTAGGATTTCGTGTGTCATATCTATTGTACTAAATACTCAGTAACATTCAAATTACCACATGGCAAGGGAAACGAATGCAAGAGCAATGTACGTATGATAGCACCACATGTTTATAATTTAATGAAAACCCTTTATCATTTCCAGTATTTTCCTTTATCTTCCTGCCAAATACCATTTACAAGTTTCCTCATTTAAAGTCTTTTATTCGAAATCTTTTCATTAAAGCCTTACATTCTAATGCTTTCTTTACACTTCAAACGCTTTACATTTCAGAAAACTGTCATACTTTTCATGCCTTTATCTTCAAGTTTTGTCTTTCGAAAGCCTATTTTTACTTAAAGTCATTTACAGATTTCTTGCATTAAACGCTTTCTTCATATTTCGAATCTTTTACGTTCCAGAGCATCTTTTACATTAACTGTTTTTATAATTCGAAGCCATTTACTTGCCTTTTATGCAATTTTACATGTCTTTACAATTAACATTTATTCATGCAATTTAGTTTCGTGCACATGTATTTTGATCACACCTTTAGATCTTTAAGGGAGAAATCGAAATAAGTCAAACACCTACACAACACTCAAATACCAACCATGAATATCTGTTCGATCATGAGAGTTACCCTAATGACCAAGGAATCCTAGGATCAATCTAGTCGATCCTGTGAGTTACCAGAGAAATTGAATAACAGTCAGTAAGTTTATTCGATAGTTTGGAAGACTAGCGGTTGTTTACCAGAAATCACTGGAAACAGATACATATATGTCACAATGGGGGTAGCGAAGGAATCAATTGAGAAAGCTTTAAGAAAGCCGTATTTGAAATCATTGATAAAAGACGGGAGTGTCAACTTCATCATCTGCTACATTCTGCAGGTCATTATCTCAATCTTGAATATTATTATTCTAAACCAGAAATTGAGAATAATGGTAGATTGGTGAAAGGCCTTCGTAAGTGCATTGATACACTTAGTGAAAGTTATGCAGTGGAAGATTTGATTTCAGAACAATTGTCACAATATAGGGGTGCTACGGGTCTCTTTGGTATAAGAGTGGCAATTAGACAAAGGTCGACATTAGTTTCAGGTAAGATGGAATGGTTTTTTGATTTTTTTACATATGATACACTTTGTGTTATGTATATGGAATGATTTTTTACAATTACTTGCGGCTGAGTGGTGGAAGTCTTATGGTGCCGAAACTCCAGAATTGCAATTGTTGACTATTAAAGTGTTAAGTTTGAGTTGCAATGCTTCCGGATGTGAGCATAACTAGAGCATCTTTGAGCATGTGAGTATTAATTTTTTACTAGGATATTAAAGTATCTTACATGCAAGTATTATTAAATTAATACTTCAAATTATTGTATTTTAGATTCATTCCAAGATGAGAAATAAATTGGAACATTAAAGATTGCAAGACTTGGTGTTTATCAAGTATAATCAAACTTTGGTAGAGAGATTTGAAATTCGAGATAAAATTGATCCTATGGAATTTAACGAAATTAATTTCCACACCGAATGGTTGGTGGGAGAGATGGAAAATGTAGGAGATGATGGTGAAGACTTGGTTCATCCAAATCATGATTTAACTTGGAGTCAAGTTGCCAATGCTAGTGGGGCTAATGAGCCTATAATCTACACTAGGAGGACAACCAGGCAACTTGAAGTTGGAAGTACTTCTCAAGCAACAACGACACCCATAACAACAATTTCACTAAGAGCAACAATGACACCTTGAGCACCAATGACACAACAAATGGTGGAAGATGTTGAAGAAGTTAAAGATGAAGAATTGGAGGAAGATGTTGAAGAAGTTGAAGATGAAGAATTGGAAGAATATGTTGAAGAAGTTGAAGATGAAGAATTGGAGGAATATTTTGATGATGCTACATGATTTCTATGTTTGCTTGAATTTTTATATGATAGTACTAAGTTTGAATTTGAATCTTTATGTTTTGAATCTTGATTAAGCATTGTTCTTTGTTTGACATTAGATTTTATAAATATTTTATGAGTGTTGTGAAATTAGTTTAGTATTACATGACATATATTTTATAGATTATTATATAATTATTAGTATACAAAAAGTTATTCCGCTATCCGGAATCCCACTATTCCTACTTTTTCCATTTTCGGGAGTCAGCCGCTCCGCTCCGCTATCCGGGATTAATAACTCTATGACTATCTAGTTAAATATATGTTGTTTTGGTTTTGGTTCATTATAAAAAATATTTTGTTTTGCTTGATTTTGTTTTTAATTATCCAGTTTTAAATTGAAGTATCTCTTGTACTCTCTCATCTTGATACATCCTTAGTTTTTGTTGATTAATAACAGTGCAACACAATTCTAAAGTACGATTACTACGTTATTTGATACGAATATAACTGACCATTCAGAGACAGGTAAACAGGTATACATCAGATAAAAATGTCTTAAGAAAAAACTACAAAACACAAAAGCACTTGCTTGCACACATATTCAGAGACGAAACACACAAGCTATTGGTTTCTGCATAACATGTGTTGCAAGCTTCTACAAGTTGTTCTTGCTTTAACACAAACATACAAGTTTGAAAAGCCCATAAAAACTTCAAGTTATTCAACCAACCTTCAAACAAGTCTAGGGATTGTTAGCAAACATCAAATTTTCTAGATCTAGTGAGAGGCCACTGCTGCATGCAGAGAAGCCAACCACTCATTACAACTTAAGAACTCACTAAATTATACTCATTGTTATTGGCATTTATAACTCAATTCAAATATGGCTAATCAGCTTATCTACTTGTAGATTCCATAATCAAGGATTTTTAGTCTTACAATTTGATTGTTATGCTGCAGTGATGATAGACACTCAATAAATTAGTAGACAGCAGCAAAGTTTATTCATAATGATACCGAGTAACAAACGCCACAAGCATACCGTGTTACCAATGTCATGAAAATTATTCATTAGAACTCCAAGCAAATGAAAAATTGGCTTAACAGTTACACCAATAAACACACTTGTTTGATAAGCAATGATTACCACAAAAATCAAAGGTTTACTAAGCATACAACAAACAAACAGAATAAATAAAATACTCTTCAAAGAATATTCACGTAGCAAATCTAATCACGCTATTCGTACCAGTACCTTATTCTTTTTTCCTGCAGATAAAAGGAGAACTTTACCATCCACTATATCGGCTTCTTCAATTCTCTTATTTTCACTATCTACTCTGCTGTTATTCAAGTACAGACCTCCTTGTTTTAACAACCGGCGCGCAGCAGATTTGCTGTCAAACAAACCAGACGAAACTGAAAGATCAACCAAAGACTGATTCAAAACCTCATCATAAGCTAAAGAACAAGACGGAACATCCTCCGCAATCCCCTCGATAGTTTTCCAATCCAACTTTGTCTCAGATCCTGGCTTCAATGCTTCAGTTGCTCTACGAGCTTCTCTCAAACCATCTTCCCCATGAACAAATCGGGTAACTTCTTCAGCAAGCCTCCGCTGAGCAGTATTAGGCACATATCCAGGTTTCTTCGTCTCTTCCTCCAACTTAATTATCTCATCAATATCCAAAAAGGTAAGAACTTTCAAAAACCTAATAACATCATCATCTGGAACAGAGAAAAAATACTGATAAAACTTATACGGAGACAACAAAGACGAAGACAACCAAATTGCACCGTCCTCAGATTTACCGAATTTCGTACCATCACTTTTCAACAAAAGAGGAAATGTCAAACCATAGGTTGCAGTAGCACCTTCCACCTGCAATATCTTCCTAATCAACTCAGTTCCAGCAGTTATATTGCCCCATTGATCACTGCCCCCAATTTGAACATTAACACCCTCATTCTGAAACAAATGCAAAAAATCATAACCCTGCAATAATTGGTAAGTAAACTCGGTATAACTCATTCCTTGTTCAGATTCTAACCTCTTCTTAACACTCTCCTTAGCCATCATTGAACCTACTCTAGCATACTTCCCAACCCTTTTCAGAAAATCCAAGAAACTAAACTCTTTCCACCAATCATAATTATTCAAAACCACAACAGAAGAATCATTACCATTCACATTCGAATCTTCAAAGTTAGGATTTTTAGCACGACCCAAGATTGTTCTAATGGTGTTCTCAATACCTGCAGTGTTCCTCTCCAAAGTTTCAACATCAAGCTCTGGTCTTTCAAGGCTTTTCCCAGATGGGTCGCCGACACGCGCGGTGGCCCCGCCGATCACAGCAACGACATTATGTCCCGAACGACGGAACCAAGAGAGAACAATGAGACCCAAAAGGTTGCCCAAGTGCAAGCTCTCGGCAGTAGGGTCGAACCCGCAGTAGACTTTGAGGGGTGCGTTGATGGTGTTTGATGAAATGCTTCTGAGAGCATCGTTGGTTATGGAGTCGAGTAAGCCTCTTTCTTCGAGGATTCCGATGACAGTTCGAGAAGTTTGAGGTTGTTTGTGTTGTAGATGTTGGAGAGTGCAGATTGTTCTTGTGAAACGGAGAGGGAGGGAACATGAAAGGTGGGAAGAAGGAGGTTTGAAAGGAAGGATGAAGAGCTTGGTGGAATGGGAGAAGAGAATGGACCTTGAAGCAAAATTTGTGGCCATGGTTAGGATGATGGTGATATTGGGGTTTGGGATGTGTGAATTGTAAAGCTAGTGCTCTGGTTCAAATTTTTTTTTTTTTTTAATTTGGTTCATTTTGTTTTGGATACTAGGTTTGTTCGGATTTTAAGAGATTTTTATGCTGAATTTTTTTAGGATTAAATATACAAATTCCTTGAGTATCAGTGAGTTTTCATTTGTAAATGATTTTTTTTAATCCCATCTTATATTATTTAAATTCCTTTACAGAATCTCCTAAATATCAAGTGTCAGAGAAGATTCATCTATATTTTCACGTGTGACTTTTATTTTTATTTTATTTTGAAATTCTAACCACATGTACATGACAACATGACATTATTGCATTTATCTTCCTCCTGAATAGGGTTTGTCTTCTCCCTTTCTCTCTTTATCCGATTCACAGTGCCATCGCCCCCAAATGAGTGTCATCGTTCCAAAACGTCTGTCATAGTCCCCAAACGTCCGTCATCGTCCCTAACTGTTTGTCGTCATCTGAAACATGGGTGGAAGCAAGTCTTCATGTACGAGTAATTTTGGAAAGGGTTTGCCAAGATATAGTTGCAATGAAACGATGAAGATGTGGATATCAAACACCATTGATAACTCAAGTAGAAAATTCTAAAAGTGTTGAAATTCTCTGGTGAGTATATGTTGATGTTGTAACCCTATTTTTTTTCCAGAATATGTTATAATCTTAATTAAATTTGCAGAATGGATGCAAATTCTTCGTGTGGGATAATTTGGTTAGTGAGCTTGAAGTGAACGACATGAACCACTCAAGATGTTGTGAAGGTGAAATCAACAAAGTTTATTTGAGAGAATTTGTAAAGGAGATTGCTAAGGAAATTGAATGCACAATAGAGAAGAAATGTGGAGCAAAAGTGAGAAAAAAAACTGAAAAGAAAGCTTCGAATGGAAAAGAAAAAAATTTGTTGGATGATGATTGTAATTGGTTTGTCATGGATGATGTTTACAGTTGTGTTTAAGTTAATGTAATATGTTTGTATTATTGTTAAGGATGCCAACATTAGTTGTTAAGGATTAATGTAATTGAAATTATATTCAATCAGATTATTATCAATGAAAGCACATGTTCTATTTTCCATTTCATTAAGCAATGTTATAAGTACTAATAAAATTGTCGTTTAGATAAATAGTTCTGCAGACTGATACATAAAACTTTGACATTAAAAGTAATCCACAAAGAAATAAGTCTTTTAAGGTTCAAGTTGATTATTAACTATCTTTAAAATATAAAAAAAGCTCAAGTGAGCAAAGAAAAAATGACATAAAAAATAAATGCTCAAGTGAGCAAAAGAAAAAAATGGCATGAAATGTAAATGCTAAAAAATAAATGGCACATAATAGTAAAAGCACAAAATAAAGGCATAAAGTAAAGTTGATTGTTAGTGAATTAGAAGTTAGAGGTCAAGTACAAAAGGTTATTTGAATGGCCATCTTGAAGCTTGTTTTTGAAAACTCATTAGAAGATTAATAAAATCAAATCCTCTCAATAACAAGTTTCATTTTCTTTTTGTCAAGTATATCATTCATTTCAAGCACTCAAGGCAACCACATATGATCAACGATGTTCAAATGATTCACTTAGACCAAAACTCATGAAGTTCATGAGAGGATTGATAGTGTCATACCCCAAAATTGTCCTACTAATATTACTAAATAATTTATTCTTTTTGTTACTAATTTTAACACTATTACATTTTTTGAAACAATGGGGGGGTTTAAAATTTAGAGAGGGGTGTATTGCTTCAAGAGGGCCATCAAAGTATGATGGTCCATTAATGTTTTTGATTCATTTAAAATAATAAAGGGGTGGGGGGGTTGGTATCAAAAGGAGCTTGCTTTTAATGGCCCATTTACTATGGTTTTTGATTAAAAAAATAAGGGGTGTGTGTTTTTTCCAAGGGGCTCATTGCTTCAATTTTCTTTTAGATTGTCCCATCAAATTGTTCCTTTTTTAGGCCCATTATAATAACAAGAGGGGTGCGTTTTAGTTAAAAGGGATTTTTATATAACGGCCCAGGGTTGTTTTTTGGAATGGCCCATTAAAGGTTTTTTAGCCCATCATGATAGGTTTTTGTTGATTGAAGTCAACATTCATTTAAATTATTATTTTGTTATAATTATTATTATTATTCATGTTAATTCCTTATAATTTGTTATCATATTTTTTATTATTATTTAATATTATTATTAAAGTTATTTATATTTATCATTATTGAGTTGTGTTGACCGAGTCAACCATGGGTGGAAACCCTAATTCATTCGCGACGGTTGTTCATCTCCTTCTTCATTAAGCCAACGAAGCCCAGGAAACAACTAACGTACATATTAAACAAAATCAAATCTTTTAACAATTAGTATAATCTAATTGTATCAATTACAATACAAATTTTCCAAAATTACACAAATCATATAAGTTACCAAATCAAATCTTTACGAACCCTAATCTAATTTACAACCAAATCTGAATAATCTGGAACAAATCTCAAATCTAATCCTTAATTTCTAAACAATCAAATCCCTAATTCTTCAATCATCTAAAAATATAACGACAATTAACCTAAAATTTCCTAATCTATAAATTAAACCTATAAGTACCTAATTCTAAAACTAACTAGAGGGAAAGAAATTAGCGAACAAAAGGAAAGAAGAAGTAAAAGATGAGAGATCTAGGTTTCAATTTCTGAAACCCTAGATCTGTGTTACAACACCGATGCCTTCATGAAATCACCACTGCTGCACCATCATTTCACGCACCTGCAAAGAAAGGAGATGAAGGAATCAGCAGAAAAAACTGGAGAATTAGAAAGTAAAATTACTACGACGAGAATCACGACAAGGAGAGGTAATCCTGAAACCACTTAGATTTTAGGGGTTTTATGATTGGTGTTTAGTTGCGGAATTTGGGTTAGGTTAGGGTTAGGGTTCTTCCTAATTAGGGTTAGGGTTCATACGGGAATCCTAGGGTTCTAAAGATCTGTGTTTCTGGGTTTGGATAAAGGTTAGTGTTCATACAAGAACCCCAGGGTTCTTGAGAGGTGGATGAAATTGTTAGGGTGCATAAGAACCCAGATGAAGATCAACGGTGGTTTGGGTTTTCTCGCGGCGGAACAGATGAACATATGAAGATCCCAATTGAGCTTAAACCAGAAATCTAGGATAGACGGGGGTTCCTACAGTGCTAAGGGTGGAGCCGCCGACGGAAGCAATTTCTGGCTGGCGGGACTATTTCTGATCACCTAGAGAGAAGCTCGCTTCTCTCTCTTAAAATTTGTTTTGTTTGGAAAATAATGTAGAGAGGGAGAGAGGAAAGGAGAAAATAGGACTCATGCCCTATAATTTGTTGTATACAACACCCTCACAATCCAGAGCCTGCGCCCCCACGCCTTTACCATATGCCATCCCTTTATGACCCTCTGATCACAATCGAACAACCCAAACAGTGCACCCCCATCATAATTCCATATACACGCACGCACCAAACCCAATGGACTCTCCTTAATTGCATTTGGGCCTAGCCCATTTCTAAATCAACCCTAACATATTTTGTTTTACTAAAACAATGCAAAGTGCACCCCCTCCTGCGCCATTGGGTCAAGTCCAACATCTAGACTTGGACCCTTATTTCCTGCACCCCCGGTTCTTACTGATACGTTCAAAACAACAACCCCCCATGCAACTGGGCCAAAATCCAATATCTGGATTTTGGGCCCTATTATTTACACCCCCAACCTTTTACTAACCAATTCACTTTGCACCCCCTACGTTTTTTAAATAAAAGTTATATTATTTTTACAATTTCTTTTATTTATCTATTTATTTATTTATTTTATTTTTCATATTTAATATTTATTTTCTTTTTCATAATTAATATTTATTATAATAATAAATTCTAAAATTATTTATTTTTAATTCAAATTCTTTTTTAAATACTAACTCATTTAAATACTTTAATTGCATTAAATTCTTTTTTCTCATACATTAAAAATATTTTTTCTCATATTACATATTATATTTGAAAATATCTAACCAATCAAATACTAAAATTTTTCCACTAATCTAATTCAAACCTATATATATTTTCAAAAATGATTATGGCGATATTTCTCATTAACTGCAAACTTCGTCTAACAACTCTGCAATTTTCAACCCAGAATTGGTTCAAGGAGAATTCGAGATATTTATGAATCCATAAAAAACACTAACCAAACAACAGTGAACTAAGAATTGGGACTCTGATTCCTCATAAGAGGATACGTAGGCATACGACTTAAAATCGTGGCGAGTTCCCCTAATTAATATTAAAACCCTATTCATGAATTGTAAATCTAAACTCTAGTATCCTTGTGAACAAGGTAGATAAAGGGTGCTTAACACGTTCCATTTGTCTAAAACGAGTCAACAAATTAGAATCTCTGATCCAAATTAGGGTTATCCATTATATTCCATTCCTTAGGATAAAAATTAATGGTGGCGACTCTATTTTAAAACCGATTATAACAGCTGGCGACTTCACTGGGGAATCAACCCTAGGGTTTAGAAGCCTCTTCCTTCTAAGTTTAGATTACTGGTTAGAATTTTGTTATTTTTGGCTTTCATATTTATTTTTTATTTTATTTATTTATTTTCTATTATTTTATTTATTGTGTTATTATATATGTGGGGGAAATTTTAAATTCAAAAAAAATTATTTTCTAAAACCTTATAAAGAAGGTTCGTCTATTGCCCAAGGGGATACATCATCCCTATGAGTTTTTGTGACGACTTCGCCTAGAGTCGGTAGAATTCCCAAAAATAAATATGTCTCAAGAGGTATCCTCTTGTAGGGTAGGACTTTGGAATGAAACCTATGACTTTTTGTATAAAACCCTAAACTAAAAACTCATAGTGAGACCTTTCACGGCCTTAAAGACGAAAGTTTCGGTCTACAAAGAGGATCCACTTAAGGGAGGCCCTTG